GTAAGGAGTGTTTCCAGCTTGCAAACTCCAGCTTTGCCTGTGAGAGGAACAAGGGTCCATGATCCAGAAGGTGGTGAGTTCTCCCCTCTCTTCATGTTGTTTAGTCCTTTAACTTTCTCAGGATCCTCAGGTTCAGTAGCGAAATAATCCCTTCTCCTTATGCACAAGAACATTTTCAAGGATGAAATGGGGCAGCTGTTAGCTATCACTAAAGAAACACAAAAGGAGACAAGTGACAAGAGAGCTGGATGGGTTTTTTCAAAGGACTCTTATTTAAGTAATAGTGTCATCATGACTAAATTACACACAATGCTGGTTTAGCTCTCACTATTTGCTGGACCCTGTGCTGTGTGCTTTCAGACTGATCATTTGCAGATTTGCAAGGTCATCTTAAACTGCTTGGGATTGTCAAGAGAACATCTGTTACAATCTTTTTTCTGATTTAGAAGTTTTAAAAATTAAACTGTTTCAAACTTAAAATGTAAATAACTGCCTGGGGGAAAATGTTTCCAACATGTGTAGTGGAAAAAAAAATGGTTAGTTTATGAAGAATTTTGCAAGCCATTAAGAGATAAATGTCCCTATAGAAAAATGAACAAAGTACATAGACAATTGACAAAATCCAAATAACAAGTGAGTAATCAAAGAAATACAAATCAAAATGGAACACCATCAAATTAAAAAAAAAAAAAGATAGCATTTTGTTACTCATCAAATTGGCAAATATTTTTTAAAAAATAACATCCAGTGATAATAAGGTTGTGGGAAAACATGAAAATTCACATAATACTTTGGTAAATTAATACGACTTTTCTGGAGGGCAATTTGGCAGTGCAAATGAAAAGTCTTCCCATTTTAAAGATGGGAAACTCAAGGCCTGAGAATCTAAATGACCTGCTTAAAGTTACAAAGTCAGGACCAGGTGTGGTGGCTCATGCCTGTAATCCCAGCACTTTGGGAGGCCGAGGCAGGTGGATCACAAGATCAGGAGATCGAGACCATCCTGGCCAACATGGTGAAACCCTGTCTCTACTAAAAATACAAAAATTAGCTGGGTATGGTGGTGCACACCTATAGATAGTCCCAGCTACTCAGGAGGAGGTTGCGGTGAGCTGAGATCGCGCCACTGCACGCCAGCATGGCGACAGAGCGAGACTCAGTCTCCAAAAAAAAAAAAGAAAAAAGTTACAAAGTCATGTAGGAGTAAGGGACAAAGCCAAGATTAGGACTGAGCCCTCGGATTCTAGCCCTCAATTCACTGTCACCTGAAGCAACGTTTATAATAGTGATGTATTGGAAGACAACCTAAATATCCTCCAATATAGAATTATTTTAAAACTTTTACATTTTATAACCTAATTTCTAAAATTCTATGTCCATAATGGAATCCTAAGGTCATGTAAAGAATATTTGATCACCTTGGGAAATGCACATAATGTAGCACTTGGTGAACATATCAGGTATCAAAACAGCATATAAAGTATTCATTTATTTATTTGAGACAGGGTCTTGCTCTGTCATCCAGACTGGAGTGCAGGGGTGCGGTCATGAGGAATTACAGATGACTTGAAATTTTTGTCCTTGTTTTGGGTAATTTCCTGATTTTTCTACAATAAGACAGAAAAAGCCCCAGATTGTGGCATGCATATTGAACTTTAGGAAGTGAAATTGTATTTTATATTTATTAGGGAAATTTTCTTTGTAAAGGGATTCCATGATAATCACTCTGTAAAGTGAGGTGGTCATTTGCTTATTCTGTAACTTGTGATACAGGGCTATGCAGGCATGTATTCATTCATTTGTTTATCCATGTTTTCCATTCTATCTGATTCCAGAAAGGATCCTGGCAATTCACTTCAGTAACCTGATTTGTGTATGATTGCCTTTCCTGTTCTAAGTGTAAAAGAGAATAATACCTACTTTTCAGAGATGTTGTCAGTACTGAAGAGAATATATATAGAGAACCTACAAATGCAATAAATAGGAACCATTATTGATTTAGAACAAAATTACAATTTAGAAACATATTTATGATTTAGTGTTAATTCAGCCATACCTTAATAGGATGTTGACTACTACAATATTGATATATTACATGTTGATGAGGTGGAAGAAGGGGCCATCCTGGCCAGTTAGATTAGAAGAATACATCCTGGAGATAAGTATAGTGACCAGATGGTTCTTTGTTTTGTTTTGTTTTTTGTTTTTGAGACGGAGTTTGGCTCTTGTTACCCAGGCTGGAGTGCAATGGCGCGATCTCGGCTCACCGCAACCTCCGCCTCCTGGGTTCAGGCAATTCTCCTGCCTCAGCCTCCTGAGTAGCTGGGATTACAGGCACGCGCTGCCATGCCCAGCTAATTTTTTGTATTTTTAGTAGAGACGGGGTTTCACCATGTTGACCAGGATGGTCTCGATCTTTTGACCTCGTGATCCACCCGCCTCGGCCTCCCAAAGTGCTGGGATTACAGGCTTGAGCCACCGCGCCCGGCCTGACCAGATGGTTCTTACATCTGCATAAGAAAATATGAAATAAAGACCTGTTAGCACTTCTTGCATAGAGTGACAATCTAACAGGAGGAATTCATTTGCTTTTTATTTCCAGCATCTGGTGCGAATCATTTTACATGTATTTTCTTTGACCCTCCCCATAACCCTATCCATGAGGGTTATATTACTACTACTATTTCATTTCATGTGTGAGCAAGAGGAGGTTTGAAGTAAACTAAACTGTCGAAGGCCACCAGCTAGGAAATGGCAGAGCCAGGACTTGAGCCCAGGCTGACTCTAGAGCTCATCCTTTTTTTTAAAGGTCTTTTTTTTCTTTTTTTTTTTTTCTTTTTGAGGCAGAGTCTTACTCTGTCATCCAGATTAGGGTGCAGTGGTGCAATCACGGCTCACTGCAGCCTCAACCTCCCAGGCTCAAGTAATCCTCCCACTTCAACCTCCTGAGTAGCTAGGACTACAGGTGCATGCCACCATGCCAAGCTAATTTTCTTTTATTTTTTGCAGAGATGGAGTCTCACTATGTTGCCCAGGCTACTGTCTAACTCCTGAGTTCAAGTGATCCTCCTGCCTTGGCTTCCCAAAGTGCAGGGTTATAGGCGTGAGCTACCATGCCCAGCCTAGAGCTCACCCTCTTCACCACTTCATAGATTGTCTGAATCTTGGATTGTGGCTCCTATTCAATTTCAGGCAGCCTTGGGTTAGCTTGGAGCTCTGTGTCACTCTGGGCACATCTACCCAGGGTGTGCTTCATAGTCACTAGAAAGTTGAGGGATTTTGGGCTTGGGGATAACTCTAGGAAATCGTGGGCCCTGCCTACTTCTACCTTCAACCATAATTGAGAAAATAGAGAGCTTTTCTCATTTACTTAACTTCTCTTGTGTAGTTTTTTAGTAGCTGGTGACAGTGGGTGGGACAGTCACAAAAAATGTGTCCTAATGTGATCCTAACCTCACTATGGCCTAGTGGTATGTTGTCATTTGATTAGAGGGGTATGTTGCATAAAATATGACTTAGAGAAAAATAAGAATCTTAAACTAGTGTGCTCTTTGCCATAAGAGAACAGAATTGGGTGTTCAAAGTGAGAATATGTTCAATTTTTAGTTTCCCAATCTCCGTTTGACACCTCCTCCAGGTGCCGTGACCTTTTCCATGACCTTCAGGGACCGGGCCTACTGACTTATACAAAAACCTCCTCTTTGGAAAGGATTTGAACCGTGGAGAGAATTTAAGAGATGAGTTGTCTTTTCCTAGAGTGTTTATATTTTAAGCTTTATCCTCACTTGTGGCATGAGAAATTCTGTTTCCTGCTAAAGCAATTTCAGGCAGTAGCAAGCAGGTGGGGAAAGAGCTTTACAGGAGGAAATCCTTTAGGGTCTCCCTGTGGTTAATGCACACAGTCATCTGTACCTGCCAGGGATAATTTTCCTCATTTAGTTAGTAAAAATAACAATGACTACACACTTATTGAGCACTTGTTCTGCCAGGCATTTGTGGCCAGTGCTTTGCAGGGACTATCTCTTTGAACCCTCACACTCACCTGTGAGGACGATTCCCCTTTATAGATTAAGAACCCAAGGCCCAGAGATGTTATGCAACCTTCCTAGGGACACACAGCTACTAATAGGCAGAGCTAAGACTTGAACCCAGGTCTTTCTAGCTCCAGACACTGAAATTGTAGGATTAGTGCCTTCAGGGTGACATGGAAGGACCTCACTGCCTTGATCTGTTATTTGTCAAGAGTCAATTGGAAGGCTGTCAGGGAAGACCTCCAGGCTGCATCATGGGCAAAGATTGGCTTGAAACAGGCACTTCCCAAGCCTGGCCTTGGACACCAACTATAAAAAGAGGCCATGGCTGGGTGCAGTGGCTCATGCCTGTAATCCCAGCACTTTGGGAGGCCCAGGTGGGACCAACAAGGAGAAACCCCATCTCTACTAAAAATACGAAATTAGCTGGGCATGGTGGCAGGTGCCTGTAATCCCAGCTACTCAGGAGGCTGAGGCAGGAGAATCGCTTGAACCGGGGAGGTGAAGGTTGTGGTGAGCCTGAGATCGCAACATTGCACTCCAGCCTGGGCGACAAAAGTGAAACTCCATCTAAGAAAAAAAAAAAAAAAAAAGACCACTACTGGTGTTTCCTTGCTTAGTTCTGGATCCTCACTCATCTCATCTGCACTGTTATCCTCACTCACTGCATTTAGACTTAACATGCCAGCCTCCTTGTGAACATTTACCGTTTTCAACCCCCACCATAATCCCTCAAATGGGGCACAGTTCACAAAATAACTCGTTTTGAAGATGAAGAAACAGTCTCAGAGAAGTTCGGTCGCAATATCCCGAGGAGGTAAGTAGCAGAGCTGGGATCGGAACCCCGGCCTTTGTGATCCCAGAGCACCAGCAAAGCCGTGTCAGCCCGGCTCCTGGGTCACACCCTGTGTCACGCACGCCAAGCTCATCAGCCCGCTCGCTCGTGCTGTCTCCCTCTGTCTGTCCTAGTTCGGATGGAGATGGCGAGTTCTGCTGGCTCCTGGCTCTCTGGCTGCCTCATCCCTCTCGTCTTCCTCGGGCTGCCTGCACACGTGTCAGGTAGGAGTTTCTGATCCTCTTTCCTTGCCTGGTACGTGGGATGCTGGGATCCTAGAATAAGGAAGCTTGGTTGGAAACATGATTGCTTTTGGGGTTCTGTTCCCTCCGCCGCAGCAATCCTTTCTAGAGCCCTTCCCGGGCTCTGTCCGTCCCTGGGGTATCCCCTTCCTCGTCTCTTCCCAAGCTTTCTCCTGCGCTCCCTCCCGGTCAGCCTTGTCTCTTTTTTTTTTTTGGTCCAGGCCTCGCCGGGGATGCCAGCAAGTTCCACGTGGCTCCGCTAGGGGGCACAGCCGAGCTGCTCTGCCCTCTCTCCCTCTGGCCCGGGACGGTGCCCAAGGAGGTGAGGTGGCTGCGGTCCCCGTACCCGCAGCGCTCCCAGGCTGTTCACGTGTTCCGGGATGGGAAGGACCGGGATGAAGATTTGATGCCGGAATATATGGGGAGGACGGCGCTGGTCAGAGACCCCCAAGAGGGAAGCGTCACTCTGCAGATCCTCGACGTGCGCCTTGAGGACGGAGGGTCTTACCGATGTCTGATCCAGGTTGGAAATCTGAGTAAAGAGGACACCGTGATCCTGCAGGTTGCAGGTTAGGATGGGTTTGAGGTGCCCAGGGTCATCTGTGGCAATTGGACAAGTTCAGTCAGGACCTCCATGTCTAGGCTTTTCTTTCATCTGCAATGTAGTTTTTACTTGCCAGGACAGCTCAGCCTTACCCAGACAGGTCCATCGATCTCAGCCGAGGCTATGAAGCTGGCCCAGGCATTTCTGATAAGGAAGGAACCCAGACTTTGGAAAACACGGTGCAATGCAGGTCCTGGTTTCATAGGGCTCGGAGGCTCAGATAATTGCTTTTCCTCCCTGGGTCATCTTTCTATGCTCTATTATCAAGGAACTCATTATGATGGCTTCAAGGGACAGATCCCTGCTGTAACAAGATTTACTTAATGGGACCTCTCCTGGGATTTCTGAGTACATAAAGGGTCAAGAAGGTAGAGATAGTGTTACTCTCTCGCTCCCTTTTTTTTTTTTTTTTTTTTTTTTTTTTAAAGACAAGGCCTTACTGTGTTGCCCAGGCTGGAGTGCAGTGGTACAATCATAGCTCACTGTAGCTTCAACCACCTGGGCTCAAGTAATGCGACCTCAGCCTCTCAAGTAGCCGGGACTACAGATACACTGCCATGCCTGCCTAATATTTTTTTACTTTTAGCAGAGATGGGGGTCTCCCTATGTTACCCAGACTGGTTTCCAACCCAACAATCCTCCCCGCTTGGCCTCCCAAAGTGTTGGCATTACAGGTGTGAGCCACTGCACCCAGTGGAGAGTGTTCTCAAACTAGCTTCAATATTAAAAAAAAATTAGTCTACCCAAAATCAGCCCACCAAAAAAATCAGTCTACCAATATTTAAAAAAATCAGTCTATCGAACCAAACCCAAATCAACCCAACCGAAAGCATGTTTTTGCATTTGCTTGAATGACACTGGCTTCACACGGTCACATGCTGATTATCTTTTGGTCATAACTTGGAATTGCATACCATGAAGTGAGGATGAATCAATTACTTCAAAACTAGTAAGTGTTTTGAAGTAATTGATTCATCCTCACTTCATGGTATGCAACATGAAAGACAGACTTTCCAAATATGGAGTCCTTTGGGGTGAAAAATAATTTTTTTTTGTTTTTTGAGACAGAGTTTTGCTCTTGTTGCCCAGGCTGGAATGCAATGGCACAATCTCAGCTCACTGCAACTTCCACCTCCTGGGTTCAAGCGATTCTTCTGCCTCAGCCTCCCGAGTTAGCTGGGATTATCGGTGCCCACCACCACACCCAGCTAATTTTTGTATTCTTTAGTAGAGATGGAGTTTCCCCACATTGGCCAGGCTGGTCTTCAACTCCTGACCTCAGACGATCTGCTCACCTCGGCCTCCCGAAGTGCTAGGATTGCAGGCGTGAGCCACCACACCCAGCTGAAAAGTAATTTTTAAAAGGGGACCAAGATGCCCAAAGGAATCTGAATCATGTGATTCAGTTATTGCTATGGGTGAATTTTTAAATGTCTGACAATAAAGCTAGAGACTGGCTTATCCCATTGGGAGGAGCGTGGGGAGAGGGTGGAGAGAAGGCAGACATTCAAGTTCCATTAACAGCTGCCTCTGTTCATCACAGGAGGCTATGGGGGGAGAGGGCTCTGGCTGGGCCACACCCTAGCGGAGGCCCTGCTGGTGTGCAGATTAGTGGGATGGTTCCCAGAGCCCTGGGCCAAGTGGAGAGACCCTCAAGGCAGGGTACTTTCAGCCCACTCTCTGAAAAAAGCTGGGCTCTTCCAAACAGCGGTGTCTAGCAGAGTCAGGGACAGCACACTGGGGAATGTGTTCTGAACTGTCCACAACATGGCCCTTGGCCAAGAGAAGGCCACAGCCGTGGTCATAGCAGGTAAAAGCTGGGGTGGAAACAGGTTTGAAGCCGCTGGTGCTTCCAGAGGAAACTCCTACCCTAGTAGGAACTTTAAGAGGAATTTTCAATTTTTTAAAATTCTAAGGATAGAGCATGTATATTAAAATTTGGAAAAAAAATCTAAAATATTTAAAGGAAACTGAAAAATGGCCTATAATAGCTTAAATTGGAGAGAACTGCTGCTAACATTTTTGTATCTTTCTTGCAAGACTTTTTTGTGTATATGGATCTCTGAGTAGGTATATGTTTATATATGTGTATTCTTGTGCCCAGGATTTTTTTTCCACTTAGGATGTCATGAGCACTTTTTTTTTGCCCATATCCCTAAGTAATATGATTTTAAGGGCTGCATAGTATTTCACCATGTGGCTGTAGAATAATAAAATTAATCAAAGCCCTGTTTCTGGGCATCTGGATGCTTACCAGTTTTTCTTATATTATAATGAAGGGTGCAGTGAACATCTTTGAACATATTTTTGAAAAGTGATTTTGATTTTTTTTTTTAGGAAAAAAAAATCTACTTCCATGCTTCTGGAAGTAGAATTAATGGGTCAAAGGGTTCGAACCTTTAACTTATTTTTTCTTTTTTATTTATAATATAGATGAGGTCTCACTATGTTGTCCAGGCTTGTCTCAAACTCCTGAGCTGTAGTGATCCTCCTGCTTCAGCCTCCCAAAGTGCTAGGATTACAGGTGTGACCACTACACCCGGCCTAAACCTTTTAAAGATCCTTGAAACAAATTGGAGACTAGCCTGGCCCACGTGGCGAAACCCTGTCTACCAAAAAAATACAAAAATTAGCCAGGCGTGGTGGTGCGTGCCTGTAATCCTAGCTACTCTGGAGGCTGAGTGCTTTATATGACTGACCTCTTTAAATCTCTCCAAACCTCAAGGAAATAAGGAGTCCTGTCATGCACACATTTTACAGATGAGGGAAACTGGGTTTGGATGGGCTCAGTCTCCTGCTTCAGGTCACACAGCATTGAGCAAGGATACAACCCGGGCTTAGGCTCTTAACCACTTCTACTTATAGCCCCCTTTTACTTGTTTCTTCTCGTCTATTTCCCTTTGTTTTCCCCTTTCTCTCCTGCCTACGCTTCAGGCCTGCTGCTGTAGCACCATAGAAATTGCTTTGCCCCCGTGGACAGTGCTCAGAGCAAAAAGGTTGCTGCTTGCTCTTCTAGAGCACAGTGGGGCTGATGGGGGTAAACAGGCAGGTGCTCCTGGGAAGACCGGACGTGCTTAGTGAGGAGAGTGCCTTCAGATCTCTGAAGTCCCTGCCTTATTTTTCCATTGAGTTATAGGGCAGGATGAGATTGTGGTCCAGAAATTTATTTAAGCCATCATCTTGAGGCAGGACCATCTAAACCATTCCTGAGAGAGGAACATCTCAGGTTTTTTGTTTCTTGTTTTTTGTTTTTGAGACAGAGTTTCACTCTTATCACCCAGGCTGGAGTGCAGTGGCGCAACCTCAGCTCACTGCAACCTCCACTTCCCGGGTTCAAGTGATTCTCCTGCCTCAGCCTCAGGCAGGAGTAGCTGGGATTACAGGCGCCTGCCACCACACCTGGCTAATTTTTGTATTTTTAGCAGACACATGGTTTCCCCATGTTGGCCAGGCTGTTCTTAAACTCCTGACCTCGAGCTGGTCTTGAACTCCTGAACCCCTGCCCGCCTCCACCTCCCAAAGCACTGGGATTACAGGCAGGAGTCACCCTTCCCGGCCTGAGTTATCTTTAATGCCATCCAGGGCTTGAGTTACCAAGATAAGCAAAGAGTATTTTGGCTAGAGATCTCTCCATAGAGGTGATGGAGACAGTTGGGGTGAGCCTGAGTCACCTGCCACCTGAGGCATGCCGGAAGCTCTTGGCCATCTCCCTGAGGGTAGTTGTTGGCGGTTTCTGTTTCAGCCCCATCTGTGGGGAGTGTCTCCCCCTCAGCAATGGCTCTGGCTGTGATCCTGCCTGTCCTGGTACTTCTCATCATGGTGTGCCTTTGCCTTATCTGGAAGCAAAGAAGAGCAAAAGGTAATTACATGTAAGGGAGACCAGGCTGGTGGGAAGTGGACTATGACTGCTCTGGGAAAGGGCCAGGCAGAAGTAGAGGTAGACATGATGCTTGTCCTTAGGTTGGGGACCCTGCACATTGGCCGGGAGAAAACCAGTAGAGCCGTGCCCTGGGGACACACATTGCAAAGGGAACTCAGTAAACTGCAGAGTGGCCCCTGGGCAAAGCTGTAAATTCTCATCCTTTGAAAAATTAGAAAAGAACCAACTATGCCAGCCTTCTAATTAACTAAGAAATTAATTACAGCCTTTTAATTAAAAAAAATTAGTTATATCTATTGGATAAGACTCTCATAAAAATGGTCACATATCACAGGATCTCAGGACTGCAAAGGACTTTGAAAGTCACGGTCACATAATCCAACATTTCTCCCCTTATCTGATGGTTTGAAGATTCTCTAATCCTTTCAAATGCCCGCTTACCTATAGTAACTAAGAGTCAGTCTTACTCAGGCAGCTTGGGCCATCTTGGGACAATTGTGCCTGTGAGAGAAAAAGCCCTTCCTAAGCTAAGCTGACATTTTTCTCTCTCTTTTAGAGAAGCTTCTCTATGAGCATGTGACGGAGGTGGGTAAGTGTTCTTGGCTGGGAGGTAGCGGACATGTTTCTTTTTTTTGTTGTTAATTTCTGTGCCCCCCTACCTACAAACCTGGATTCTGTTCCTGAAAATTCCACTATCTGCCATCCTTGGTGGTGGTGGCAATGTCTAAATCCATTGCTTCTAGTTTTTACTGCCTCTTACTTAAAATAGCTTGCCTTCCTGTATGTGTAATGATTTTTTTGCCTGTGAGCTCATTGCTTGATCTTATTCTGTGGCAGTTGGGTAGGTTAAACATGGGGGAAGCTTTTATTCATTCATCAAATAGTTGATAATTATCTACTAAATGCTCTGGACAATACTAGATTCTGGGGATGCAATAGTGAGTAAAAGCAGACACAGTCTTTGCCCTCCTGGAACTTTCAGTGTAGTCAGGGAGATGAGATGAATTAAATAGTTACACAAATAAATGTGTACAGATGCTACACAGGAAAGCTCCTGGTTCTGTGAAGGCTATGACCAGGATGAATCAACCAAGCTTGAGGGCTGAGGACGTGAAGTTCGTCCTGAAGGACTAGAAGTCACGAGTGAAGAGGGAGTGGAAAACCATCCACTGCAGAAAGAACAGCTTCAGAGAGAAGCATGGTCGGGGAGAGCGGCACTCACTGGGCTGCTCAGCAGGTGCAGGAGCAAGGGGAATAGTGGCAGGGGTAAGGCTGGGGAGTTAGGAGGGACTGGGCCTCCTGAGGCCTGGTGGGTCACATTCAGGATTTTAGTCATTCTTGTAAGATCAGTGGTAAAACAAGGAATGGGAATATCAGATGGAACCGTGCTTTGAAAAACTTGGCCAAGCACAGTTTTTGTGCTCTGAAAAACTTTGGCTTCCTAAAGTGCTGGGATTACTGACACCTGTAATCCCAGCACTTTGGGAGGCCGAAGCAGGTGGCTCACCTGAGGTCGGGAGTTCAAGACCAGCCTGACTAACATGGTGAAACCACATCTCTGCTAAAAATACAAAAATTAGCAAAGCATGATGGTGCATGCCTGTAATCCTAGCTACTCAGGAGACTGAGGCAGGAGAATCGTTTGAACCCTGGAGGCGGAGGTTGCAGTGAGGTGAGATTGTGCTACTGCATTCCAGCCTGGGTGGCAGAACAAGACTCTGTTTCAAAAAAGAAAAAAAAAAAAACAAACCAAAACTAAACAATTCTTTCTGGCTGCAGTGTTTAGTAGAAACCAGAGGGAGTAAGACAGGATGTGGGAGACAATTTGGGCTGCCATTTCTGTTGTCCAGATGTGAGTTGATTAGGGACCAACTCAGGCAGGCGGAGGTGAAGATACAGGTGGACAGGTCCAAGAGCAGGTAAAATCAGTAGGAATTAGGGGCTCTCAAGGCAGTGGCAAAAAAAATCTCATTATCTTCTCCTTTTTTCCTCCAGACAATCTTCTTTCAGACCATGCTAAAGAAAAAGGTAATGATATATAAAAAGGGGTAGAGAATAAAAAACACATTCTTCATTTTTCTATGTAAATGTTGACAGTCATTATTATAAGTCTGTTGTTATAATACTGTGCACACACGTGCACACATATATCCTCCATTGGTATTACTGGAATTTAGTTTGCAAATGTCAAGGCTATGGATTTGGTGGCAGTGGGTGAGGAGGTGTCCAGGTCATAATTCATAGGCCTAGATTACCATAAACTCCCTTCATTAGCCTTTCTGCCAATCATTTAAAAAGGAAGTCTACATAGTATTGAAAAGTATATTAATGTGGTCATATGGGATGTATAGGAATTTCAAGAATTTATACAACCTTTGCATAGAGAAAGGTGGTGTGATACAAAGGAAGGGTCGCAGGCTCTGGGGTCAGTGACACCTGAATCAGATCATTGGTCTGCCACTTACTGGTCTTCAATAAGTCACTTTACTGCTCTGGGCTTTGGTTTCCTCATCAGCAAAATTCACGTAAGTTCCCCCTTACCTGATTGTTTTCAGTGTTAAAACAGGCAGCCTTAAAAAAACATCTGTCGCAGTGCCTGGAACTCCTTTTGCTTATTGCCATTTTGTCTTCATTAATTGAATATTTTTGAATTAATTATTCAATTAATTGAACATTAATTGAAAGATACCTTGTTGAAGTCTATCTGGGAAGACACGTCACTGGCTCAGATGACTCCAGAGTCAATGATTTCAGCGTCTCCTCTCCTCCCTCCTTACATCTCCTCCAAGCGGTACAAGTGTGGGGTGTATCTGGCAGACACTGGCTGTTCTGCTCAAGGCGGCAGGGAACAGCGTGGGGTAAGGGCGAGGGCCTCTGACTCAGGAGTCAGACAGACTTGGATTGAATCCTACCTCCTTCGTCACTTACTAGCTGGAAGACCTTGGGAAAATTTTGTGTCCCTGTGAGCCTCAGACCAGCCCCCTATAAAATGGCAATAGCAATTCTAGGCACTTCACATTGTTGAGGGGATTCAGTGCCTACTGCAGGATCAGCACAGGAGACAGTAAGTGGAAGCTGTTAGTAGTGGAGATGGTAACTGTTAACCATCAACGCCTTAGGAGCTGAGTTGTATTCATTCGCATTGCTCCAATGCCTAATGCCTAACACATGCCTGGCCCTTGGCACACACAGGGCCTGGTGGTGGACTCAGACTTGGAACTTCAATTGTTCATCAGGGCCAATGCTGGGTAGGGGGAAATGTGGGCCACGTGGCCCTCCAGAGAAGCCGCAAGTTCTCCCTGGCAACCTGTGTCTTATACACATATTTCCCCAAATCTTCTGGGACCTCCAATTCATAAAATTTGTAACCTCAGGGGAGTTACTATAGAAAATAATAAAGTCACATTAACAAGTTCATGCTAGGCCTTTAGCTAGTTTTACACCTTAGATATCATCAACAATGGGCTATAAAAGGACAGCAATACATACACTCATATACCACAGTTATAAACAATATAGAAACACTCAGGCAGACGGCAGAAATGAAACCAGACAGATGAAAAGGAGGGGAAGGGGAAGAAGGAACCATAGTCCTGGGCAGGCTGGGTCACTGAGAGAGTGGCACCAGCACCTGCAGATTTCTGGGTCTGAACTCTGGGACATGAAGCTGGACTAGTGACATAGAAGCATCACCATAAAGAGGCAGGATCTGATCACTCACTCCTCTCTCTCTTTCTGGTTTTTAGGAAAACTCCATAAAGCTCTCAGTAAGTTCTGCTCCTCATCCATGGCACAAACTCCTGCTGACACCTTTGCTTTAGAATGAGCATCTCAGTTTCACTTCCTGGGGCAGAAGGGAGGGGGCAAGGGTAATTCAAGCCATGGGGACTGGGACTTTCTTGGCCTTCAGAGTCCTCTTTTCTCAAGTATTCTCTGCCCCTCTGTTCTGCCCAACTGTTACTTAGTCTTTAAATGGGAAATGTTTCACCAAGAAGAATAGATGTACCTCCTATAGGTGAAGCCATCTGGAAGTCCGTTTTATCACCCAGGCATGACATTTCCTTAGATGAGGCCCAAGAGGAAGGGAACCTTATTAAACTGAATATGCTGGAGCAGCACTTCTCCATCATTTCATGTGTGAGGCCCTCTTTTTAACATTCCAAAAAAATCTGGCCGGGGGCAGTGGCTCACACCTGTAATCCCAGCATTTTGGGAGGCTGAGGTGGGTCGATCACTTGGTCAGGAGTTTGACACCAGCCTGACTCTGACCAATATGGTGAAACCTCATCAAAAATACAAAGTTAGCCGGATGTGGTGGTCCACGCCGGTCATCCCAGCTACTTGGGAGGCTGAGGCAGGAGAATTGCTTGAACCTGGGAGGTGGAGGTCGCAGTGAGCCGAGATTGCACCATTGCACTCCAGCCTGGGCAGCAAGAGTGAAACTCCATCTCAAAATAAAAATAAAAATACATCTACAGGCAGGTGACATAGCTATGCATTATTATTACACTGAGAAAATGTACATGATCACAAAGTCCAATACTCAATGATAGTTTTAAATGAAGTAATATTTTATTCTTCTCCCACAACATCTACGGAATTTATGTTGTCGTTACCTGTAGGTGTGAGATGTGTTATTATTTAGCCTGCAGATAAGGTTTAGCTCACATAGGAATTTGCTGATCCTCTGTAGTATCTTCTGGGGATACTCCCATGGTCCACAGCTGAGATCAATTGCTCTTGCAAACTCTTCTGGGGAAGTTCCAGGGTATGGCTATTGAGTATCTATCTGCTCGTGGTTGGGATGGGACTGTAGCATTATGGGAGGAGGCCTCTATGTAGAGACCCTCCTTCTGATTTGCCAAATTGTTTTCATTCTTTAGAGAAACTCCGGCGTGAACTGAGTAAGTTTCCCAAGTTCTTATAACTTCTGTACCAACTTATGTCCTGTTGCCCTAATGTTTCCAGTGATGGTTCATCCCCCTTGTTTTTTTTTTCATAGAGCTGAAAAGAGCTGCAGCAAACTCAGGTGAGATGCACTTTCTTCACATTTGACCACCACCCTAGGGAGTTCTCGTGCTTTTTTTTTTTTTTTTTTTTTTGAAACGGAGTTTTGCTCTTGTTGCCCAGCCTGGAGTGCAATGGCGTGATCTCGGCTCACTGCAACCTCCACCTCCTGGGTTCAAGCAATTCTCCTGCCTCAGCCTCCCAAGCAGCTGGGATTACAGGCATGTGCCACCATACCTAGCTAATTTTGTATTTTTAGTAGAGATGGGGTTTCTCTGTGTTGGTCATGCTGGTTTTGAACTCCTGACCTCAAGTGATCCCCCCACCTCGACCTCCCAAAGTGCTGGGATTATAGGCGTGAGCCACTGCGCCTGGACATCTCTAGTGCTTTAGTGAACCCTCTTTCTTGTTTTTCAGGCTGGAGAAGAGCCCGGCTGCATTTTGGTAAGTTATACCAATCAAATAGATCTCCATTTCAGAGCACATCCTCCTTATGGCTTTGTAACCTTAGATTTTGTTCCATTCCTCTGGAATGTATGTGATTTAAAAAATTTTAAATCAAATCTGTATATCTCCTTATCAAACTGAAGAAAATCTTTGTGCTCTATCTTGAGGTCATATTAAGGTTTAGAAAGTATCCCCTCTTTTAGAGCACTGATAAATATTAGGTTTGGTCTTCTTAAGTGTTTTCTGTGATTTTTGAGATTTTTCTTAGGTTTATCGGTTATTTGTATTTCTTTTTTGTGTGATTTGTCTGTTCCTGTTCTATTTGGGCTGCTTTTTGATTTATGAGGACTCTTTCTAGATAAGCTATATTAACTCTTTGTCATATTTGTCACCAATTAGTTTTCATTTGCATGTCCTTGTAGTATTTTTCTGATGCACAAGTGTTTTATTTTTATGTAGTCAACCTCATTTATCTTTTCCTGTGTAGTCTCTTCCATGCTTTCAGGTTTGGGAAGTCCTTCCTATCCCACAACCAGATAAATAGCCACTGCTTCTGCCTCTTTCTACACATAGGCTGTTTTCTTCTTTCTCTGCAGACCAATTTGCTTAGGGGTGGTGATTGAGATTCTCAGAGAAGAAGGGAATGCGTTGAGCAGATGCCCCAATGGTATATACTATGAAAAGTTTTCATAGTTTTATTCTAAATGACTTGTACCTCTCTTTCAGTTTATTTCTAAATAGTTTGCATTTTTTTTTTTTTTTTTTTTTTTTTTTTTTTTTGCTGCTGTTCAAATGGGATCTGTTTTTTTTCACTGCTTTGGGATCCTGATCGATTTTCTAGCCTTTTATCCTCCTCCTGTTCACACCATCTTCCTTCAGGCAGAGTAAAACAAATTGATGAACTGGCCACTCGAGAGAACTCCAGGTCACCTTGGCTGGCGATCTGGGAACTCACAAACCCTTGCATCTCACATTCAGTCTGGCTTACTGCCACCACCTCAACCGAGTATGGTTTATGCACCAGCTCTCCAAGAAGACCCTGTTTCCTGTATTTGGGGGAGGAAGGAGACTCACTGTGACACTCACAGTCCACAATTTTAAGAAAGAATCCTTCTCTTTATATTAACATTTCAAAATAATAATTTAGTCCCAGCTACTTGGGAGGCTGCAGTGGGAGGTTCACCTGAGGCCAGGAAGCCAAGGCTGTTGTGTCTTATGATTGCATGCCAATGAATAACTACTGTACTCCATCCTGGGCAACATAGTGAGACCCTGGCTCAAATAAAATAAAGCAAATAGATAATTATAAGTAGTAATTTTAGGTGACAAAATGAACATCATGCACTCACTGTAGGAATGACACACTATCTCATTAGTTCATCAAGTCTGCACAATAGCTCTACAACACAGGTTCTGTTACTATTTCAGTTTTACAGATGAGGAAACTAAGGTTCCGAGATAAATAACAACCCAAGATCACATAACTAGCATGCGGCAGAGCTGGGATTCAAACATGCTATGTAGCTGCAGGATCTAACATCAAACCCTATATTTATCATCACACATTTGATTCTTTTGGAATATCAAAGACAAAGGTAGTGTCTTAGTCTGTTTTCTGTTGCTATAACATAATACCCAAGACTGGGTAATTAATTTATCAAGGAAAGAGGTTTATTTAGCTCATGGTTCTGGGGGCTGGATGGTCTGAGATGGGGCGACTGTATCTGGTGAAGGCCTTGTACTACTTCATAGTATGGCCATAGTCGCTTCTGGAAAAACAAAAGAACAAAGTGAGTCCCTGTGAAAGCAGAGAGGAGACAAAGTGCCCTGACCTGCCTTATCACAACCCACTCTTCAGAGAACTCACCCAGTCTGGTGAAAACTGCATTAATCCCTTTGTGAGGGTAGAGCTCCCATGACCCAAACACCTCCCACTAGGCCCTAATTCTGAACAGTGCAGCAATGAGTGAGTAAGTTTCAGCACATGAACTTTAGAAGGGCACGCTTAAATCATAGGAGGTAATTACTTCCAAAGGATTAAGGCAGCTTCACAGACAGATGAAGAAGAACTTTTTCCTCTATTCCTTAGTATTCAACCAGGAGACCTAGTCTTTGAAAGACAATATTCTTTGGTTCCAGTACACATGGTGGGGGTGAGAATCCATGAACTAAAATGGGCTAACGGCAGTGATTGCAGACCCAAAGATTCTTTTTCCCTGCACAGCTATCCCCAAATCTTTTAAGACCTAGCCTTCCAAACCTCACCTGTCTATGACTCTTTGCAGTGGCAGTGACCCTGGACCCAGACACAGCACATCCCAAACTCATCCTTTCTGAGGACCAAAGATGTGTGAGGCTTGGAGACAGCAGGCAGTCTGTACCTGACAACCCCCAGAGGTTTGATTTCGTCGTCAGCATCCTGGGCTCTGAGTACTTCACGTCTGGCTGCCACTACTGGGAGGTGTATGTGGGAGACAAGACCAAATGGATTCTGGGGGTGTGTAGTGAGTCAGTGAGCAGGAAGGGGAAGGTTACTGCCTCACCTGCCAATGGACACTGGCTTCTGCGACAGAGTCGTGGGAATGAGTATGAAGCTCTCACATCCCCGCAGACCTCCTTCCGCCTTAAAGAGCCTCCACGATGTGTGGGGATTTTCCTGGACTATGATGCAGGAGTCATCTCTTTCTACAATGTGACCGACAAGTCTCACATCTTTACTTTCACCCACAGTTTCTCTGGCCCCCTTCGCCCTTTCTTTGAACCTTGCCTTCATGATGGAGGAAAAAACACTGCACCTCTAGTCATTTGTTCAGAACTACACAAATCAGAGGAACGAATCGTCCCCAAGCCAGAAGGGAAAGGCTATGCTAACGGAGATATGTCCCTGAAGGTGAACTCTTCCTTACTACCCCGTAAAGCTCCAGAGCTGAAGGATATTATCCTGTCCTTGCCCTCTGACCTCGGCCCAGCCCTGCAGGGGCTCAAGGTTCCTTCCTTTTAGGGATATGTCATATTACCTGCTCCCATAACCATCCAGCCCAGCACCCTGGACTTCAGGCTCCTGGTCCAACCCCATGATTCTGGAATGTCTCTTCTCCCTAACCAAATCCAGATCCTTTTGTGGTTTCTATTTGTACCACTTTTCTCCCAGGACTCAGTTCTGAAGCTTGCCTTTCTTCTAAGGAACTGAAGTTCTCAGTGACGTGGAGGGAGGATTCCTGGAAATGAAACAATCAGTTTAGGTGTAGGTGGAGATGTTGAATATGTGTTGTTACCAAGATACAGCACAGGTTCAGCGGAAAGAGTCTTCTACTCCAGGGGTTATTTAGAAGACATTTTCTCTGCCTCATCCTGTCCTCAAGCTTTAGTCAAGAAGTTATGGCTCCCAGTCCCTGACTGCTTCCTTATCCCATCAAGGACTGCTTTTCTCTCCTTCCCTCTCTCAGTTCTGGCCTCTGGCCCCCAAAGTCAGCTTTCTATAGGTAAGCATGTTTTAGTCCACTCACTCTTTCCCTCTTCCTTCAGGAATGAGTTGGGGGAAGCTGAGGAGTAAAATATACCATCCTTTTCTATTTTCTTGATGCTGTTTACAACATAGTTTGGTGATACCCAGAGCTAATGCACATGCTTTCAAAAACTAATCTGCCTGTTGATGATAACTAGAACAGGGACTTTAAACACAGCCTTGCTATAACCCTGAAGAGCCTCAGGAGCACATCAGGGAGCTGGGAGCACAGCTGCAGAGAGCTCAGCCGTGTATTGCCCTCTGACCTTGGCCCAGCCCTTCAGAGGCTCAGTCTGTTGTGACTGTCTTATGAGTCAATCTGTTGTGCCAGCCCTTTCCGAGATTCAGAGAGGTCCAGCTAGAAAAAGTGGCAGTTTTAACCACCAACTTAGAAACTTTTTTTCCCCACAAGACAATTGTGCTGGAATACTTCACTATTTGTGTATCAAACAGCCTTTTAGGTTGGAGAGTATTGATTTCAAATAAGAAGTTGGTAGACTAGGCCGGGCGCAGTGGCTCATGCCTGTAATCCCAGCACTTTGGGAGGCCGAGGCAGGTGGATCATGAGGTTAAGAGATCGAGACCATCCTGGCCAATTTGGTGAAACCCCATCTCTACTAAAAAATACAAAACTTAGCTGGGTGTGGTGGCGCATGCCTGTAGTCCTAGCTATTAAGGAGGCTGAGGCAGTAAAATTGCTTGAACCCAGGAGGTGGAGATTGCAGTGAGCCGAGATTGTGTCACTGCACTCCAGCCTGGCGACAGGGCAAGACTCTGTCTCAAAAAAAAAAAAAAAAAAGAAGTTGGTAGAATAAGTGTGAGGATGAAATAATGACCTTGATTTTTGGGTGTGTATTGCGAAAGTCTAGTCACTTTAAAGTCACACCACATACGTGATCTGGCCTAACCGTGGAGATACTGGTTATCAGTTTGCAGATGAATACACAGTTCTATGCAACAGAAACTGTATCTTTCTGTTTGTCAGAAGTTCTCTGTTCCTTCCTATATTAGTCAAGGTTTTCCAGATAAACAGAAAGGGCAGGGAGGACAGTGGTTATTATAAGAAGTTGGCTCACATGATTATGGAGGCTGTTAAATCTCAAGATCTGCAGGGTAAGTCAGCAAGCTGGAGTACCATGAGAGCTGATGGTTTAGTTCCAGTCTGATGGCAGCAGGCTTGACATCAAGAAAGAGCTCATGTTTCAATTCAAGTCCGAAGGCAGGGAAAAAGCTGATGACCCTGTCCAAAGGCTATCAGGAGGGAAGAATTCTCTTAGTCAGAGCAGAGTTAGCTCTTTTATTCTATTCAGGCCCACATTTGGGAGAACAGTCTGCGTTACTCAGTCTAATGATTTGAATGTTAATGTCATTGAGAAACACCCTCACAGGAACACCCAGAATAATGTTTGACCAAATAGCTGGGCATCTTGTCTCCCAGTCACGCTGATACATAAGATTAACTGTCACAGTGACTAGTGGAATTTTTTGTTTGCTTTTGTACAGTTTTAAAATAAAAGTTTGGTATTTGTTGTTTGGTATGTTGTTATTTTCATTGTGAATGAGGAGTTGTGGGGAAGGTAAGAGATTGGTTTCCAAAGAGCTTTCAGTCCCTGAAGGCAAGGTTTAGCCATGTTCATACTAAAGCCATAGATTTATTCCTGAGCCTGCTCTCTAGTATTTTATCAGTTTGTAAACTAATAGTGTTCATCAGCTATACATATTTCATTTACCCATATTCAGTTCCAAACATACATTTCTGAATATCCCAGTCTTAAAACTAACTCACATCATCAGCTTGTGGAGGCAGAAAACATACATAATGTACACACACACACATATATGACATACATATAATATACACAAATGTTTGCACATACACACATGTATGTATACATGTATGTATATATACACACATGTATTATATATAGGTGTATATGTATATAACATATATATACATACACATATACATGTTATATACCTATATACATACTTGTATATGCATATGTGTATATGTGTATAAATACACATACATGTATACATACATATCTATGTAGATATGTTATATATAGTGTTGTAAGGTTATTTTATATATGCATAATACATATACACACGTATATATGTGTATATGTATATACATACATGTATGTGCTTTATACATGTATATGTATATATGTATCAGTCTACTGATTTGAATGTTAATGTCAAGAAATAACCTCAATAGGCCGGGCGCGGTGGCTCAAGCCTGTAATCCCGGCACTTTGGGAGGCCGAGGCGGGTGGATCGCGAGGTCAAGAGATTGAGACCATCCTGGTCAACATGGTGAAACCCCGTCTCTACTAATGGTGCAAAAAATTAGCTGAGCATGGTGGCGCGTGCCTGTAATCCTAGCTATTCCGGAAGCTGAGGCAGGAGAATTGCCTGAACCCAGGAGGAGGAGGTTGTGGTGAGCCGAGATCGCACCATTGCACTCCAGCCTGGGTAACAAGAGCGAAACTCCGTCTCAAAAAAAAAAAAAAAAAAAAAAAAAAAGAAATAACCTCAATATATGTATGTATTATACATACGTATAACCTTACAACTATATACAACATACATACACAGATATGTATGCTTACGTGTATGTACATACGTATACACGTACACATGCATGCATATATATGTATATATAATATACTTACAGTAATTCTGCCAGGGATTTTATGGGAGAGGAAGTTGGTACTCCAAATGACTAGGTGGTAGAGCCAAGAATTATTCTTGGTTTATCTAGCTCTGAAGCCAATGCTCATTGTTCTTCTCACTGAAACAATGTGCAGATATGAGAAGCCTGTAGTTAGTCTACTCATCCCATTAGCCTTTTATTATTTTAAAAAATAAAATCTGAAAAAAAAATGACCTAGTCATGGATACTTTGATGATCTTGTTGCTTCTGGACTGATGAATAACTGCTAGGCTTAACTAGGGATGCATGCAGAAGCTGGGAAAATCCCTGCTCAGGGATGCTGGGAGACCTGGAGGTTGCTCTTTGGACAGGTTACTTTCAAATTCTCCGATAAGGAGATTGGGTTATTTTATCTTCAAACTCCCTTCGAGCTCTACCCTCCTTTGATTTTAAGTTATAAACCTTAAGTGAGGTGACAGACTCTAGGCTTCGTTGGATGTCTACAGGATGGTCAAGGGTTACCAACTCAAAGTAAAGAAGGCACTTTGGAGATACGTTCGTCAGTTTGCTCCTTTCTGCCCATGGACGCCGCTGAAGAAGCATCATTAATTCTCTCTTCTCCCTGCGATCATGTCTAAGTCAGAGTCTCCTAAAGAGCCTGAACAGCTGAGGAAACTCTTCATTAGAGGGTTGAGCTTTAAAACAACTGATGAGAGCCTGAGGAGCCATTTTCAGCAATGGAGAATGCTCATGGACTATGTGGGAATGAGAGCCCCAAACACCAAGCACTCCAGGGGCTTTGGGTTAGTCAGGTATGCCACTGTGGAGGAGGTGGATGCAGCCATGAATGCAAGGCCACACAAAGTGGATGGAAGAGTTGTGGAACCAAAGAGAGCTGTCTCAAGAGAAGATTCTTAAAGACCGGGTGCCCACTTAACTGTGAAAAAAATATTCGTTGGTGGCATTAAAGAAGACACTGAAGAACATTACCTAAGAGATTATTTTGAACAGTATGGAAAAATGGAAGTGATTGAAATCGTGACTGACAGAGGCAGTGGCAAGAAAAGGGGCTTCGCCTTTGTAACCTTTGATGACCATGACTCCGTGGATAAGATTGTCATTCAGAAATACCATACTGTGAATGGCCACAACTGCGAAGTTAGGAAAGCCCTGTCAGAGCAAGAGCTGGTGAGTACTTCATCCAGCCAAAGAGGTCGAAGTGGTTCTGGAAACTTTGGTGGTGGTCGTGGAGGTGGTTTCGGTGGGAATGACAACTTTGGTCATGGAGGAAACTTCAGTGGTCGTGGTGGCTTTGGTGGCAGCTGTGGTGGTGGTGGATATGGTGGCAGTGGGAATGACTATAATGGATTTGGTAATGATGGAACTCATTTTGGAGGTGGTGGAAGCTACAATGATTTTGGCAGTTACAATAATCAGTCTTCAAATTTTGGACCCATGAAGGGAGGAAACTTTGGAGGCAGAAGCTCTGGCCCCTGTGGTGGTGGCGGCCAATACTTTGCCAAACCACAAAACCAAGGTGGCTATGGCGGTTCCAGTAGCAGCAGTAGCTATGGCAGTGGCAGAAAATTTTAATTAGGAAACAAAGTTTAGCAGGAGAGGAGAGCCAGAGAAGTGACAGGGAAGCTACAGGTTACAACAGATTTGTGAACTCAGCCAAGCACAGTGGTGGCAGGGCCTAGCTGCTACAAAGAAGACGTGATTTAGATAAATACTCATGTGTATGGGCAAAAAGCTCAAGGACTGTATTTGTGACTAATTGTATAACAGGTTATTTTAGTTTCTGTTCTGTGGAAAGTGTAAAGTATTCCAACAAAGGGTTTTAATGTAGATTTTTTTTTTTTTGCATCCATGCTGTTGATTGCTAAATGTAATAGTCTGATCATGACGCTGAATAAATTTTTTTAAAAATGTGCTGTGTAAAGTTAGTCTATTCTGAAGCCATCTTGATAAATTTCCCCGACAGTGTGAAGTTAGAATTCCTTCAGGGTGATGCCAGGTTCTATTTGGAATTTATATACAACCTACTTGCGTGGAGAAGCCGTTGTCTTCAGGAAACTTGGTGTAGTTGAACTGGTAGTTACTGTTGTGACCTCAAGTTCACCATTAAAAGGGATTACTCAAGCAAAATCATGGAATTATTGGTTATAAAAATGATTGTTGGCACATCCTATGCAATACATCTAAATTGAATAATAGTACCAGATAAAATTATAGATGGGAATGAAGCTTGTGTATCATCATCATGTGTAATCAATAAATGATTTAATTCTCTTAAAAAAAAAAAAAAAAAAAAAAGACACTTAGAGTATGTACCCCCCTTGGAGGTTGTGTAGGTTAGCTGTATAGATTCTACAACCTCCAAGACCAGTGGCCGTGAGACTTGGGGTTGAACACAGGAGCACAGAAGAAAATTCCACCTTAGGACGGAACCCAGTCTCTTCACCTCCATTCTAAACTTCCCAAGTTTTCTCCCAGGCTATGCGCTTCCTTAGGACTACAACTCCCAGCAAGCCACGCCAGAGGTCAAAGCTTATTGGCTGTTTTGCCTGGTCCTTTGCGTTATGACAGTTATTATAGCCAATGAAAACAAAGGATTATCCTAAAAAAGCCAATCCTGGAGAAGTAGGACGGATCCTTCCTGGGTTCCGGCTCCGGCTCCGGCTCCTTTCCCCCGCCTACAAAGGCGGCGCTGTCCCTGACCGAGCGGCGGGAGCGAGGTGGGTCAGGGTTGGGCCTGAGGTCTGTGGGGGGAGGCGGCTGCAACTTCGCGGGAAACTCTGTATAAGGCCTCTTCCCTCTCACCGAGGAGTTGGAGGCTGCTGCTTTGCTCCCTGGACCGAGTGTGAAGCCAAGGGGCCTTGTG